TCTCAGTGCTGTGCTTTAACCCGCTGCGCCACCAGGGAGGGCCAGCCCTATGAGTTTTAACACAGGGCTTCACAAGGGTACAGCGGTCCCAGCCCCGACTCTTACGAGTCACATGGCGCCCGCACAGGCCCAACACCCACGGGGCCTCGGGCCACACCTGGCACCTCTGGCGTTACGTGTGACTTGGCTCGGGCAGGTGTTCCCATGCGGTCGAGGTGTGTATTATAAGAAACTGTCCACAGCTCTGACACAAGAGAAATCTGCAATGAGAAGCCAAACTGTGTCAGCACGTCCCTTGGCAGCCCCGAGCTGGGCTGCTATTTCTCCCAGCCTGTAGCTCTGTGTTGACTGTCTTTTCCATCTCTTGGCAGTGTTTTCAGAAATGGTGTTTACAAAGCAACGTCATTCAATGAAGCCAAATTTAGCAGTTTTCCTTTGTACGAAGCTTATAGATCTCTGGTGTCTTGTAATGACCCCAAGTCATAAAGTGTCTGCTGTTTCCTAGAAGTTTCGTGGCTGTCTTTTTATTCACCAGAAGATGAAGTCTATTTACAAGGGAGAAGAGCGTGGCTGCCCTGTGGCCCCCTGGCCCGGCACTGTCACCTTCACAGGACCGAGCTCTGAGTGCTATTTGACTGAGCCTCATGAGAGACCTCGAGCAATAGTGACGGTCGCCCTGGAAAACTGCACATCAGGTTAAGCAGTGATAGGTAACGGAGTCAAACAGCTTCCGGGCAGCCGACTCCACCTCCACAGCACGCAGGCGAGAAGCCGACGCTGCCACACTGCGCCTCACACCCACCTGCTCTACACACCAGCAGGGCTCCGACAAGGCCCGAGTTCAGGTCTCTCGCCAGGTCCACGTGAGACAGGTACGAGTAGGCGAGGCATGGCGGGTCGGAGGCGATGGGGCCGCTCTCCGCCAGGACCTGCCACACGTACGTGTGGCTCTCCCCGGGGCCCACGCGGTCGTCCTCCTTCTCCTTCTGGCTGCTGCGGTCGTCATATTCAACCCCTAGATCAAGGAGGAAGGAAAGGTCCTTTCTCACGCATCGTTCACTTCAGGAAATGTCTGCAGCTCACCGACACCGGTAGACGCTACACGAGAGCCATCTGTCCGCAACTGAAAGTCAGCAGCTCTGAGTGGGTTTATCGAGTGAGCCGGACCCAGCGGCATGAACAGTGTGGACACTGTGGGAGTGACCCCTTGCTAGGCGCTTCCCTGGCCGGGACTGCTCTGTGCCGTGGGCATCGCGGACTCCAGTGTAAGTATTCTTTGTCCCCGGGCGTGAGCTGGACCTCACTCTCCTCAGACTGAGGTCTGAGGTAAGGCGCTGGAGCCACCCACTAGGAAACACGAAAGAAACGGCCCACACTCAGTGGCCACCAGGACTCGGGCCAGCACGCCAGCCGCATGCCTGGCTAGCGGGTAAGGCCCCGCGGGTGCTGAAAGGAAGGTTTTCAGGCTCACTGTGACAGCTGTGAAAGTGTGCCCCCAGCGTTAACAGGAAGGAAAAAGTGCAACTGCGTCAGCACCCTGTTTCTCCAGCAACCTTTGGGAAGCCCCGCAATTCCTTGTGGCTGTACGAGAGCCACGCTGCGGTCCGTCTGGGTCACGTACCCAGCTTTTCAGCAGGAGTCACGCAAGGACTTGTCGCATGTGGCCTCTGCGCCCAACGGCGGCTGACTCGGCGAGAGGAGACCCTTTCTCACGGACGCTGAACGCTTTCCTCCGCCTGACTCGGGGAGGCACCCGCCTCTGGTGCACTCAGCTGCCCCAAGGAGGCCGGACTGTTGGGGCAGGTGCTCACCAGCCATTGGGGCTGCCCCCTGGAGGGAGCACGTGTGCTCGTGGGGACACGGGTGGCTGCGGGCCCTGCTTCTGACTGAGCATTCACTGCCGACTGGGCGCCAGGACACATGCAACAAGTCAGATGGACACAGCCTCTGGCCTTCCAGTCACGCTGGGGCGGCCCCACCTGAGGCCCTGCTGTCCGACTCACCTTCAGAAGCTTTCCCGTAGGACACGCCCATGGCGTGCAGACTGACAGGGTGAGAAGCCATGTTCTTAAGTGTGACGACCACTGTGTCGGAAACCTCAGCCCGGATGGTCGGGCCCAGCAGGCCTGCAGGAGCGGGGTGTCCCCCAAAGGGACAGGTTTCTGGCAATATTCCAAGCGTTCATTCGTTCAACTAACAGCTAAGCCCGGGCTGTCTCCTGGGAAGTGCCCCGAGATGCAGGCGGGAGCAAGCAAATTCATGGCTATCACACACGAGGCCAAAAGCAGAAGCGCAGCTCGTCATTGGGAACTACGTGAGTGAGCACAGTCGCGGCCTGCTTGCAGGGAGAGCCCACCAGACGCGTGAGGGATGCTGGGGGTAGAAGCCGCGTAGAAAGGACGTAGAGTCAGCAAAATTGAAGGAAGCTCAAGACGCCAAGCAAGGGAGAGAGTAAGCCTCAGAGGCCTCTAAGGGGTTTAGCCACTGAGCCGGACCCAGCAGCATGAACAGCATGGACGCTTCTGCGCACCCTGGGGACACGTGTCACAGACAACGCCCAGTGACACTTCCATCGCAGGAAGTCTCTCAGCTTAACTGCTCACGGCCTGCTCTTTGCTATCGGGGCCTGCAGGCTGAACTGACTGTACGCACGCACGTCACTGCCACGCAGGCAGCACCGTAAAGCTCCGAGACTGCATGGGATCAGCTGGGAAGTGGAACAGCCAGCGAAGCAGCAGAGAAGGCCAGGGTGGGCTGAGGAGGCCAGCAGCCAGCAGCAGCCCCGGGCTCGGGAGTCCTGGCTGGGAGCCGGACCAGCAGTTTCATTACCCATCCAGGGGGGCCTGGGTTTGGCGGTGCTGAACAGGTGGTCGGTGAACTCCACGAACACGGTCTTCCTGGACACCCGCGAGGAGCCGCCTGCTGAGGGCAGTGGCGTGCCAAGGGCAGACCTGCATGGGGAGGGGGGCAGAAAGCTGCTCCCTTTGCTGCCCCTTGTCTGGGCTGACTCAGAAAAGCAGCCTGAGGACACGGCCAGTCGGCCTCTGTTGGTAACAGTGAACTGGCCGCTGTGTATGAGCAGAGAACTCCCTTGTCCCATTTTCGCGAGGGGTTAAAGGGAAAAGGTGCACCTGAAAATCTCATACATCAGCCCAGCAAGCCTGTGCAACACTCCTTGAGCTTCTTTGAACTTTCACCCGGTACAGGGAACCACAACTTGGCCATTCCTGGGGCTGCAGGAACTCGACACAAGATGACCTTCTGTGAAGATTGTGCGGTGTGGACCTGCTGGAGCCTCTGTCCATGAAGTCTCTACAGCTGAGCTGACCCAGAGCAAGTGGGTGAGGCATCCGGGTACCCGTGGGGACCCTGGAGACTGAGGGGTGCTGCCCAGGAATGCCCCTGTGACTGACTCCAGGGATGACACCCAGCGCTGGGGGCCTTGGGGGCAGACAGAGCAGGGTGGCCTTGGGACAGGGCCAGGCATGTGCAGAGATGCCCCGGATGCGCCCTCTGGAAGGAAGCTCCCTGAACCCCAGGGTGTTAGCCTTGCGTAGGCCCAGGCACCTGTGTCATCAGCTGCCCCACGGCTCATCTCTGCTTCTGCCCGCCTGCCCTGCTCGGCTCCTCCAAATTCTGTTGGTTGCTGCAGGACCCAGACCCAGACTTGCACAATGCTCTTGCTGTGTTACTGCCCACGGAGTGCTGGGTGTGACCAGGTGTGGGCGATAACACAATTTCACTTCGAAAATTGTAAACTGAAAATACAAGACACCTAGGAAATGTTCACTGCAGCAAGAACCTGAAAGAACACAGAGGCGACAGGACCCAGAGCACCCAGCGCGGGGGGGGGCCCCCCTCCCCCCCCCAAGAAGGAAACGACAGCGGCCCAGCAAACAGGAGTGCGGGCTCCTCCTGGGGCCAAGGCCAGCGGACATCCCCGAGGGGTCAGCCCCGCCCAGCTGTGTGCTTCCTGCTCACGTGAGCCCAGACAGCTTGTGCGCTCCGGTGAGTGTTCCCTACCGCAGCACAGGCACGACTTACAGGCCTGTCTCGGCTCAGGGTTATCAGCACAGTAAGCAACAAAATGTCCCTGGCACATGGGTTTTACCGACTGTTGTGTGTGGGGCGCTGTTTGCGTACTTCCCTTGGGACTTGACGTATAAATCTTGCTGATGTCCTTGCCATGAGCTGTTCTTCCACATTTTATCTGTAACCCATCACTAACCTATTGTATTTCCTGGCCCTTACTGGAAGCTGAGCAGCTGCAGGATTAGATAAAGGAAAACCGAATTTCCCAGATGTTTATTCCAAACCTTGGCAGAAGTTGTCAGGATATATTCAGGGTCAGCTTATCCTGTTAATCACTATCAAAATAATCTAGACTATAAAACTGTATCATCAAAATAAAAGTGCTATCAAGTTTTTCCTGCTAAACACATGACTGCTTATACGACAGAAAGCTGGGTGACAAATGAACCATTTCCTCCGTGCAGTCTTACACGCGGACGATTAGTCACTGTGCCTCAGGCTGCAGCTACTTGGAGTCTACAGAGCACAACATGTTAATTACAATGAGCTCCCCACTAGTTATTAATATCCACTATCGATGGGTTTTCCCTGGCTAATGATGACATACGCCACCATCTGAGGGTCACTAATATTGTACAACTGCACGAATTAATAACACCTGACACTAACAAAAATGAGGACATGAGCGACCAGAATGCTGCAGCCACAGCAGTCTAAAGTGGGAAGATAACTGCGGTACGGGGCCACGTTAACGAACGAGAATAGGGCCTCCCTGCTGGTGCAGGATGAAAGTCTCAGCACTGTCAAGCCACTGTGGCCTGAGTTTGATCCCCGGCCAGGGAGTGATCACCGGGGTGCAGCACGCCCCCTCCTGTCTCCCCGCTGCTCCCCGCAGCAGGAGGTTTCAGTGGATCTGCCTGTTCTGCTCCCCGCTCTATCTTGGGTGAATCCTCTCACCCCCCACACCTCTGGCCTATACCCCAGTTCTTGTATGTATAAATAAATAAGTAAATAAAGCTTTAAAAGAAATTACCACAGACAGCATAGAAATACAAGGTGTCATAAAAGATTACTATGAATAATTGTACAGCAATAAATAAATTCTACAATGAATTTATTTGAAGAAATAAATTTGAAGAGATCTACCAAGTTCTAGATCAATATAATTTACCAAGACTAAGCCAGGAAGAAACAGAAGAGTTGAATAAACCAATCATAAGCATGGAAATTGGAGCAGTTAAAAAAAAATCCTCCCTCAAAAAAGCCCCGGGCTGGAAAGCTTTAAAAATGATGAATTTCTATCAAAACTTATACCCATGTTGCTCAAATGATTTCTAAAAATACAAGTAGAGGGAATACTTCCTAATATATTCCACAATGCCAACATTACCTCAATACAAAACCAGAAATAAAACTTAAAGACCAATATCGCTGATGAACACTGACACAAAAATCTTTCAATAAAGTGCTAGCAAGTCAAATTCAATAGCATATCACAAAGATTCTACACCATGTCAGGTGTAATTTATCCCAGGGTGCAAGGATGGTTTAATAAATGTAAATCAATGAAGGTATTATATCAACAAAAGTAAAGAGAAAAATCATATGGTGATATCAATAGATGCAGAGAAAGCATTTGATAAGAGCTATCACCATTTTTGCTAAAAATTCCGAACAAGGTGGAAATAGAAGGAAACTACCTCAATATAATAAAGACCATCTATTAGAAAGCAACAACCAATATAATACTTAATACTGAAAACTTTCCCTTTAAGATCAGAAACAAGGCAAAGGTGTCCACTGTCACCACTTCTGTTTAACTTATTGCTAGAGATTTAGCTACAGCAACCACATGGCAAGAACAGGAAATAAAGGGAATCCAAGTTGGGAAAGAAGAAGGGAAGCTGTTTGCAGAAGAGATGATATTATATATATAAAATCCTAAGGACTCAACTCCAAAGCTATTAGAAGCTATAGATGATTGTAGCAAAGTGGCAGCTGACAAAATCTATATAAAAAATCTGGTGCTTGTTAATATGTCAATAATGAATGAGAACAGCAGGAACACAAGAAAATAATTCCATTCCTAATCATTTGAAAAAGAATGAAATGCCTGGGAATCAACTTTACGAAGAAGGTGAGGGAATCTGTACAATGAGAACTACAAGTTGTTAATAAAGGACTTGGATAGTGACCTAAGGAGACAGAAATATAGCTCATGATATATTTTAATATAATTAAAATGACAGTGCTACCTAAAGCAACATATAAATTTAGCACAATTTCCATTAAAATACCAACAGTAGGCCCTCCCTGGTGGCGCAGC